TGATTAACGATTAAAGCATTTTCACTAAGTGATCATTTTATTCATTTCATATCATTAAATTGGAAGTTTACTTGCATGTACAGTAGTTCACACCTCATGATGTGGTACATGCGTACTGCACTGTTGAGACCCTCTTAGTAACGTGCATTATCTTTGACCTTTCACCCTGTAAGTTGTTTCTGTCCCCCTCCCTTTCAATCATATGAATAAATCTTACTGGGCCAGTCCACGGGAAGTGTTTACACTTGCTGTCATGCAATCAAAAATAAAATTGCAAACCATTCAATACAGAAAGTCCAGAATCTAGGAAATAAAAGAAGTTAAATATGCAAAAGGCCTCGCCAAGAATCAGGTCTGTGCGATATTTCGTATGCGACATATTCGGAAAAACGTTTTACCCAAATTTATAAAGCTTTGTGTGGAGACGCCATGTATGTGTCCCTTTGAGGGGCACAAATATGGCTGCCGGAAACCAACAGAAACATCTGTTTTTGAGTTTTCCTACTAGTGCGTGAATTCATCGCTTGAGAAAGTCATAAAGGATTAAAGTGATATTTATTCTGAGACAAGGAATGTTTAGATAGCAAAATCTCCCAAAATTGGTAATGTTTTTAACCCACATAGGAGCCTTCCCGGCCGCCAGCTAAATGCCGCGTGACGCAAAAGCCTAGAAATTTAAACGTCCTCTATCGCAAAATGAAGAACCCTTTCGAACCAAAACTTTGTTTAAATAAAGGTGTTTAGGTGCTGTAATGCCTCATGAAACTCAGAAGAATCGATGGTTTCTTAATTTGAATTTTTGGTGACGTCATGTGAAAACTGAGAATACATATACATGAGACACCACAGGTAGCCCAAACTCAAAAAATGTCCTGCATGTTTTTCTAGTCAGTTTTTTCAAGTGCACTCGCTGACAGAAAAGCAGTGGAAGACAATGCTCAATTAAAGTTTGCAAGAACTTACTTCGATCAAACCTCTTTAATACGGACATCAAAGGGACAGAACCAAGTGTCCGCTTTACAGAGGTGTCCGTAAGGAGAGTTTAGACTGTATTAAAAATGGTTTTAAATAACCTGAGATCAGGCTGTGTTTTCGTTTCTCTTTGTAAATAACATTCCGGTGGGCAAAGCGAAACGAAAAGAGAATTTTAGCGGGACTACGTAAGTGAGAATGTGTAAGAACTGCCAAAATTGAGCCTGATCTCAGGTTAGCGTTTTAATAAAACCTTAAATAAATTTATGCCACTCTTCTTTTAGGAATTGTCGTCCTTTCCTAGCACAGCCTCTACATCACAGGAAGACCATGAAAGCAATTCAGAATCCACTTCCTCGAGGAAATTGAGGGTAACTCTGTTAAGCAGTGAATGGAGATCAACAAAAGGAGGCTTGTCAACCATCAACCGAGAGCTGGCCATTCAGTTGGCAAAACACCCCAAANCAATTAAAGTTTGCAAGAACTTACTTCGATCAAACCTCTTTAATACGGACATCAAAGGGACAGAACCAAGTGTCCGCTTTACAGAGGTGTCCGTAAGGAGAGTTTAGACTGTATTAAAAATGGTTTTAAATAACCTGAGATCAGGCTGTGTTTTCGTTTCTCTTTGTAAATAACATTCCGGTGGGCAAAGCGAAACGAAAAGAGAATTTTAGCGGGACTACGTAAGTGAGAATGTGTAAGAACTGCCAAAATTGAGCCTGATCTCAGGTTAGCGTTTTAATAAAACCTTAAATAAATTTATGCCACTCTTCTTTTAGGAATTGTCGTCCTTTCCTAGCACAGCCTCTACATCACAGGAAGACCATGAAAGCAATTCAGAATCCACTTCCTCGAGGAAATTGAGGGTAACTCTGTTAAGCAGTGAATGGAGATCAACAAAAGGAGGCTTGTCAACCATCAACCGAGAGCTGGCCATTCAGTTGGCAAAACACCCCAAAGTGGATGTCAGTGTTTATCTCCCTCAGTGCAGCAAAGAGGATAAACAAGTTGCTGCAAGTCACAGTGTTACTCTCATTGAAGCAGAAGAAATGCCAGGTTTAGAACCCAATTTCTGGTTGTCTTGTCTGCCAGAAAACCATGCAGTGGACTGTGTGATAGGACATGGGGCCGTTCTTGGTCGGTAAGTGCAGATTCTGAAACGAATTCATCACTGCAAGTGGTTTCAGGTCGTTCACACAGCTCCTGAGGAGCTTGGTATGTACAAGTCCTACACAGATGCCATTTCAAGAGGTGAGAAAAAGCACCAGGCTGAGGTTAAAGTCTGTGAAAAAGCTGATCAAGTTGTAGCTGTTGGTCCCAAACTGGCTGAAGCTTTCTCAGGTTATCTCCGTGCCAGTGGAAAAGATCAGGATGTTCTTAATCTTACCCCAGGCATCTTCTCTGAGTTTTCTGATGTAAAGCAAGCCACTGAAGAAAGAAAAATATTCAGTGTTTTAGTGTTTGGACGTGGTGACAATGAAGACTTTCAGTTGAAAGGTTATGACATCGCTGCTCGTGCTATTGCTGAGTTGAAAGCCGAGCCACAGCCCTATAAGCTGTTGTTTGTTGGAGCTCCAAGTGGAGAAGAGGAGAAAGTAAAAGATTTGTTACTCCAGCAAGGCATTGATCGTAGTCAATTAACTGTACGTTGTTTCAATGAAAGCAGAGAGCAGTTAGCCCGATTGTTTTGTGAAGTTGATCTTGCTATAATGCCATCACGAACTGAGGGCTTTGGTCTTACCGCCCTTGAGGCTTTATCTGCTGGTCTGCCTGTGCTGGTCAGTGGGAACTCTGGTCTTGGCGAAGCCTTACAGGGAGTTCCGAATGGTTCAAATTGTGTGGTGGAATCAGAAGATCCTAAAGACTGGGCCAATGCAATCAAAGCTGTTCGGAAGAAAAACAGGAAGCTGCGATTGAGAGAGGCCAAGCTTCTTCAAGGAGAGTATGCCGAGATGTACAGCTGGCAGGATCACTGTAACAAACTTGTGGAACGAATGCTTGCCATTTCTCAAGGTAACAGGTTCGCGTAGTTAATATTTAAATTGGTCTTTATAATGTGCACTGCTGGCGTTAGGAAATGTTCTCGCAATTACAATGACAACAGTAGTGAGAACCTCACCTCAACAAATTTTTCCATGTCTTTTAATAACTCCACCCGAGAAGTCCGCCTACATTTGACAAATCGAAAGAGTTGTTAAATATCGCGATACCTTTTAAAGAACACATATCTACTTTTTTGTGACGTCTTATTCCCGACCCTGAGGTTCAGAAGTAAATAATTGTATTGCTACCCTTTTTGTAGGTCTTAATACAGATGAGCAGAATTTATCTAAGAAAGCGGCGGTGATCTGTCAAGATGAAAAACCCTCTCCTTCTAAAAAACGTCTCCATAAATTCACAAATAGGAAAAGACCTCTGGGATAGTTTGCTGCGAAGTTCTTCATTAACAGTTTTAAGTCTTACAATCAGCAACTACAATAAGATGGCAGAAGGCTGGGAATATTCGCTGGTCAACAGCTTAGCTAAAATGGCTTCTTTAGCTACACTCACTCTCGCAATCGACGATCGTGGCGAGGGGAGGAAATTCGATGAAGATTTAATGGCAGTGAGGTCCTTGTCTACACTTTCCGTCGAAATCAACGGTAGAAATTTAACTTACTTTTGGGGTAAATTTCTGAGAAAATGTTTGGAAGAATGCAATTCACTAACAAAACTCTGCGTTACAAGCAACAACTTTGCGGAACATGAACAATATAACCAATGCGATGCCAACTTCGGTTACCGCTTCTCTGACAATTCAAGAGACATGCCTGTGAGTTGGGTAGAAGGTCAGTCCAAGACTGATCTCGGTCTTGGTCTAGTAAGTACCTCATCATTAAAGGAACTAAACATGACGATTAACAACATTACCTTTGCCAACTGTACCTGGATTGGCGATTTAATTCAGGGACTCTCAGAAAACACTTCACTAACGTCCCTCACTGTTACAGTCAATGATTACTTATTCTTGAGCTATGAATTTTGGGTATGCCATCTGAAAAGTTGTTTAGCGAAAAGCAAGTCGTTAACTACATTCACTCTAACACTAAATGAATACAGTGAAGGTGAATGGCGTGAAGACTGGCTTTGTCTATGGAACCTTCGTGATGATTTTCCAGAAAACACGTCATTAACTGAACTCGATCTGACAGTCAACATCCGCAGTGAAGTAAGTGAAGACTGGTTACCATTATTTTGTGACTATTTAATGATGAAATGCTCCTCCCTGAGAACAATGAAATTGCAAGTCAACAACCGTTGCGCTTCAAGCAAAAGTCGTATATATGACTTAAGCAAACTTCGATTAAAATACCGATCATTATCCACATTTGAACTCTCTGTAACTTTCTATGGAGAGTAAAGTAAGTTTCAAAATCGTCATGACGTTGTAGCCGGGTGTGGCATTAAAAGTAGACTTGTAGACGTAATTAGAGTAATGAATACATGTAGGGACAAAGTAAAATTGAGTCTTAAAAAGAAAGGATTCGAAGGGACAGACGGCAAGTTGCTGGTGCTGAATATATCTAACGGTTTTAGCTGTTGATCAGTATAATGCCCAATTAGTCAGGGAATTCTAGCGCAAAACGGTTTGCGTTCTTGTCTCTCGGTGCTGTATTCATAGACATTGTCAAGAAAGTTTTTTCAATTTGTCTCCCACTTCACAGGCCCAACTGACAAGAAATGCATAGCGCTGACTACTATCTACTGGATAATTCCGCGATATCCAGTGGATAATATTGTTTGGGAAACAACCTATTTTATCAAGTACACTTGAGGTTTGTCCTAAGAACCATTAGCCACCATCTCAACAGCTGTTTACACTATAGGCGAATCCTTGTTTACATTTGTTGCCTCATTAGCATAGGCTGATCATTGTCTGATGAAGCTAATAAAATGAGATTTCTGAATATTGAAAGAGCATAACAATTTCAGTTATGTTTGAAAATTTGAGCCCGATATACCAAATAGTTTCAGAGAAATTCTCTTTGCGCGAAAAAAACCCAAAAT